ATAATATAACTAAGGCATTTTGTACATGTCTGGCACATGGTCACATGTTCAATAAATGATATCAAGCATTATCAGTGAAGGCCAGGTTCTGGTGTCCTTTCTAAATGATTCAAAATGAAACTACCATCAAGTATGAATTCCTGTAAGCTGACTCCTTTTGATATGGATGTTATTTTCCAATAGATTACTACAGAAGCACACCTGAAATTTTCACTAAGTCACGGGTCAAAATTGTGTTTGTGAACATTTCCATTGCCCAGTAAAGTATTAGAGAAAAAGCTCTAAAATCAGACAAATTTTGCTTTGTTTCTGGTTCCTCCAATTACTAATGTGGTCTTGGTGAGTTCAAGAAGTATTCCTCACCTGTGCAGGGAGAACAACTATTTGCATGATTGTTGTGAAGATTGTCTATAATGCAGGCAAGGTCATAGCAGAGTGCCTAGGACATGGTGGGGGTCAACAAATAGGAGCTGTTTTAATTATGATTATTATTAGATGAAAAATTATAAATGCCAACTAAAAATCTGGTTAATTTTGGAATAAATGTAATCTGGATTATTTTTGCCATGCATCAAATGTCAGTGGGGAAGGAATTTTATCTATTATCCAGTACTGGTTTTACTAACTTCAAATCAATTTTGAAATTAACAAAATATATTTCTAAATGGTAAACTACACTTTTCTTTTTGTCTAGGATACTGCAGGTATTTCAGTCAAACTGGCAATAGACATAATACTCAATATTTTAAGTAAGCTTTAATTTAGAAAAATTAACCTAATCATTTAGTTCATTTAGTTAGTGGCATTTATCTCATAATCAATGGGCAAATGAAAACAATTTTTATACAAATTCTCTAAAAATACTGGAAATATTGTAATTTATTCCAATATTATGTTTCATAGGATATTTTATTTAATTTCTCATTGGGATATATTTAAAAGCTTAGAAAATATTGTAAATCCATGGCTTAGCCACAGATTCTTATTCAGTTACCTTCTTAATTGAGCCAATTAACAAAACAAAATACACATTCAAATGAAACATGTATCTAAACCATTTAGGAATAATTAAAATTATAGATCAGGTTTTCTTTCACTGATCACAAATTATTGTAAAGCTTTTGTGCTGCTCATTTCCGGGTTCACTTTGGTGTGTTTATTAAAGCATGGTATTGTCAGATCACGGGGAGTATCTCATTTTCATTTTCATATCTCCAATTCTAAAGGGGATTAAATTATCCAATTAAGCCGTTAATTAAAAAGACTCCTACAGAATAAACTGCAGGCTACCAATGGCATTTTCAATTTTCATTGTACTCTGCTCAAAAGCAATTTACTAAATTCAAAAGAGCTCAAAGTTACTGCCCTGGAATTCACTTTATAAGGTACAGTTAGCAGTGCTACCTGAGAGTCCAACCCATTTCCTCTTCTTTTGGGTTATCTGGCTGGACTACATAACCCAGCCTCCCCTTCAGTTAGATTTGGCCACACGACAGTATTAGCCAATGGAATCAGAGCAGAAGTAATGTAGACTATTTCCAATATTATCCCAAATCTTCCACTCAGCACTTCCATGTTGTTTCCCCCTCTGCAAGTTTCTTGCTGATGAACATATATTCAATTATGTGTTCAAAATGGGAGAAGAAACCTTAGTTCCCAAATTATCAGCTGGAGGAAAGAAATTCACGGATCATCAATACCTATTATGTATATAACAAAAACAAAAGTTAACTTAAACTGTGTTAAGCCATCAAGATTATCTGTTTCTACAGCTAGTATGATATAAATTACTAAAAAAAGCAAGTGAACTTGAGTCTAATTAGAAATATTAATGTAAATACTTTAAGTCTAATTAGAAACATTAGCCTCCTTCAAATTTTGATCAGGTCCACTTAGATATATACTTGAAAGCAAACTCAATACCTATTGGATCTCTTAAAATCAAAGTTATATAGGCCACAGCAAGGGAGATTCTGGACTTCTTGTCTCCATTCCCCAAAGCCCTCCTTTCCTGTCCATATCCCAAAGATCACTCAAAAACTTGGGCATTTATATGCATGTTTAGTTCTGCCACTACCCTACACACAAAAATTCTCATTTCATGGATCAGCTCAGAAGCTAGAAACTCAGGAAGTAAACTCTACAAAAGGGGCACTATCAGGTCATACTCAGCCACTTATTATCCACTAATTCTATCATTTGATGTATATTTCCTGTACATGATGCCATGACCTACTACACAATGGGTTGACCTAGAAGCCTATAAACCAGTACTTTTCCATATCTTAGAGCATATCAGTGCCAGAAAGGTATTTAAAATAATGAACAGAGGACTCTACTTACACTGGCAACCTAACCCAAATAGGCTCCATAAAGAAGTTAGTATGAATTCTATGGTATGCCTATGGAGTTATCTGGAATCAGGCTTTCAGAATCCTCCATTACTTGGGTCTATGGGTCACCACACACTTCTAGTTCTCTGAAAGTGCACTGGGCACAGAGGCTCCAGTAGCATGATGGCAACTATCCTAGAGAGCCATAGCAAATTAGAAACAAAAGCACACAGAAGGTGAGTTAGAATGCCCCATCAAAGGGGTTTGCTGGGATCCGGACAGAAGGAGCACCAACAGTGTCCTCCAGGGGCGTTGAATAATTCCTTCTCTGTGTCCCAAACCATACCCCAAGTGGTCTAATTGTAAGCACTTACATATGCATCTCCCATGTTGACCAGATTGTTTGTTGAAGCCAGAGACAGTATATTATCCACCTAACTATAGCTGGTTTAGGGATGTAAATATAATGGGTGCTCAGTTATGAAGTGCTGAATGAATGACTATAAATTGGACTGTTAAAGAATGGTAACAGCATATTCGGGTTCTTTGGTTTGATAGTAACAATAATGTCACTTTTGTGAGACCAACCCTATAATGGTCAATTATTTCCTCAAAGGCATGTCTTTTTCATGGAGGGAACATTATGGCAAATGCAGTTAACCACAGCTGCTGACTTACATTTTAGAAGAAAATATAATGACTGCCTTACAAATCTTTAATTATCTACAGAGCAAGTTACTACATTAAAATTCTACTTTCCTAAACCAAAAGAGATAGTATACTACAGTGCATTGTATACTTTTTAATACAGTCTAAAACAGAATATTAATAGATGTACTATATCTTCGTATTTTTTTAAGGAGAGAAATGGAAAGACTTCAAGCTACTTTTTATTGTCCTTAAAAAGACTGTTTTTATTGTTTCAAAAGTAGGGGAAGAAAACACAATCAAACTCATCTCACAAAGACTATTTAGATAAAAAATGCATAATCCAATAACATCTTACTTTGAACCAGTGGGACACTTCCACTGGTGATGAGAATGTTGTATGAAATAATCGGATATTTTTCCATGATTTAAGATGCAACAGAAGCATTATGTTAAAAAATATTGAGGAAGAAGCCTATCAAGTGCTTTGATTATAGAAATGTTGATTGAATAAATATATTTGGAAATAGGAGTACTAAGAGATGATGATTAATCCAGAGGGAAGTAATCCAAAGCCTAAAGACTCTGTCTTTTCTTACTCTGAGATACCTGACAAGTAATTTCAAGCCTGTCCATTTCTCTGGCATGAGCATAACCTGTCTGGCAAGCCATAGTTCCTAGTTGCTTCTTAGTGATAAAATTTATGTGCTGTGCTTTAAGCTCCATTGAGGCAAGGCACTAAATAAACTTGAGGATAATTTATTAATCCTGAATTTGCATTAGTCATATCCCAGTTCATGTGGTAAAAGGAAAAAATATGAAAATAGGACGCCAATGCTGAGTACTTGGTGAAAAGCTCAGCAAAGCCAGTCTGGGATCCAATATGTAATTTACTTTTAATTTACCATAATGATTTTTGTAAAACTTTATTGGCTCTCCTCCAATAGATATGCTCAGCAAGGATCGCCAAAATCCTGTCTTCTCTTCAGAGCCACATTCTTAGGCCAGTTTCTCTCTACTTTTTCCTTTTCCTTTCTAGTTGTATCTTATCTTCTTCCCTCTAAACTTGATCAATGACTGTTTCTTTTAGCAGCCTATATCAAAGAGAAGGACAAGAAGACTATAATTTGAAGAGTTAAACAGAAGCATTTAGAAATCTGATCCTACAAAATTGTCTTAGTTAATAGTGATGATTTTATATTGCTACTTTGGTTTGTTTTAATAATGTCCATACTATACACAATTTTCAGTAGAATTGAGTTAGATCAAGAAAAGTTAATCAGTAAAAGTTAACTCTGTCATCAAGAAGCTGTGAGAGACCCAACTGATCACCAACCAGTTTTCCTGGACTAACAAGTGACTTCATTTCCACTTCCAAAGTCATAAATCTATGCTTTTATCAAACACTTTCTCTGACCTGCAGGAATATGTTTATTCAGAATTTTAAAAAGAAACCTAGAAGGAAAATACTATTCATATAAGCATGACAAACTTTAGCTAATTTTAAGCACTCAAGTAAGGAATAAAACAAAAAATATTGTACATGTCTAAATCGAATTGAATTGCTTACTCTAGAGAAAAGGCACATACATTTCCAGCACCCCTGACCTAGTACTACTTGTTTTTAGACATACAAACTAAGGTCACATTAAGCTGTGGTTAAGAGGAGGAAAAGGTAGCTGCCCTTCAGAAGTTTATCCATTCAGAGAGGAGGAAAGTCAAGGGGAAAATCACTCTCCTCTGACTAATGCAGTGTAATTGTTTTCCTTATGATGGTTCCCCTCCATTTTTCTCTCTTCAGAAGTTCCCATGGTTACAAAAGGACGTGGCACACACTTACATGTCTTTTAAAAGGATGACAAGTCACAGAGATGCAAAATGACCTCCTGTGGTTAGTCTGAATTTGTCATTTTGCTTTTGAGATTTTCCCTTTGGCCCACTTAACCCAGTATCTCATGTACAATGAATAATGTGATGGGGTGTGTGTGGGGGGGGTGCCTATGTTAAGAAACAGGAAACGCCAGGTAACCACTTTAATGCTATTTCAGTTTTATCCTACATACACACACAACTAAAAGATAGAGGGGTTCACTTAAAAGGATAATGCTCTAAGGATCAAAAACAGTACTGCTCTTTCTTCAAAGACTTGAAAAGTAAAAATTATATTCCTTAGTTCTATTCAGGAATTTTAAATTGAATCAGTATATTCTAAAATGGCTTCAATCAAGAAAATTTTTAAAAGGTTTTCTTTTTAAAGAGAGGGAACATTAACTGAGATGAAATGGAAGAGCATTTTGCTCCCTCTCAATGTAGTGTTTATCCCTTTGCACTAAAGGGAAATGAAAGCCATTTGTTTCTAATGGGGAATTGGAAAATCCTCCACTCAATACCTGCTCATTGAAGAACCAGGATCATGCAGACTAGATAAAATTTTGGAGATTTCATCTCCTAGTTTTCCTGTTGTTGCATGACTAGGAGGTTTTACTTCTTCTGGGACTTAATATTGCCTTTTCGTCCTATTTGATAAACTCAACCTTTACCTAGTAGACTTATTGTCATCTTTGTTCATGCTGACCTGAACAAGGCAATCAGCTGCATCAGATGCAAGCTATGAGGCACATTTTCATTCACATAGACTCCAAAGTTGAAAGTAAGAACTTCATTGAAAAATGTAAAATGGAGATCCAACATAGTTCTTATTTAACTACCTTAGCATTAAGAAATGCTATAGTAATGACTGTCCATGAAGTCTAGCAATGCAGTCCAAAGAACAGCAAGGCCTTCTATATATGCATACACATGTCTTCATCACTGAGGGTTACAGGTTTACTAGACTGAACTTTTTGATGGACACATTCTACTTAGGACTCCTGAAAAGCTACAGATTGAAATGGTATGTACCATTGAGCTATGACTAACTAAAATGGAAAATAGCAACAATTCAGCAGATAGCACTTTAAGACACATAGCCCAGGGATTTACTTTTGTTAGTTTGATTTTCTAAAGAAAAATCCATGGTCCATTTCTTGCTTTTACTTTTTTAAGATCTATGACTCTCAACAGATACTGTTTAGATCCAAGCAGGTCATCTACCCAAATAATGAAAACGCATCAAAAATAAAAGTCCTCAGGGGAATATAGGCCTAAATAAGTGGGCAGTTGTCTCAGGATGGCAGAATACAGCACTCCAGCTACCAGAGTCGACAGGAATCCACACCTCTGTTCATCGAGGAATTATGTGGGCAATTAAAAGCTTTCTGGAATTCTTCAAAGTTGCTAATGGCACCATTGACCCTGAAAAAAGATATGGCAAAGCACATGTCATTTAATTCATCAACAGGTTCTGGATGAAATTGTAATGGTATATTGCTAGAAAGGATCTTGACATTTATGTAATCTGTTTACAGGAGAAATAGCTAAAGCCCAAAATCATTAAGTAAAATTCCAAAAAATTAACAGCACTAAGACTAGAACCAACATCTCCTGAATGCCAGGCAAATGTTCCTACTACTCTTCCAACATTCTTCAAAATCCTTTAAAACTATACCATCTTCAATACTTAGTTTTTCCAAGATTTTTTAAAATTTAACTTTTATGGAATGTATAATTGATATAAAGTACATGATTCTTAAATGTAGAAACCACTAATTTGTTCATGGGTACCCAATATTACTACCATTCAGATCAAGACAGGATATTTCCAGTAACCTGAAAGCCCCTTTGTGTCCCCTACCAAGGATAACTACTATCCTGACCTCTATCACCATAGCTTTGCCTGCTTTTGAATTTTACATGAATGGAATCCACAGTATTCAGTGTTGTGTCATTGACTTCTTTCACTCAACGTCTGTAAAATCATTCATTTCCAACTATTTTTAAATATTTTTTTCAATCTACAAAAATAATTTCTCTTCTCTAAATTTCTGTTAGTTTGGGGGGATCATATTTACCTAGAATCTAGTTAATGCAACAACCAACTAATGGAAAGCATCTAATTGTTACAGATAAATACTTCTTCACTAGATTTTAGTTCCAAAATCCGGTGTTCTTGCAAGTTCCCAACTGCAGTAAAGACTGTGGATTCCTACTCAGCACTTTGATTGTAAGTGCTTTTTGGAAGTGGTATTTCCGTTGTGTGATTTTCACTGCACTCAAAATCTATAGTTACTGCAGACATCAGTTTTAAAAAAAAACTCCCTCCCTCATCTATTTCTCACTCAACCTCACATTCAAAGGGTTGACTAGAAACTCAGCATTCTCAGCCACTGACTATTTCTTCCCTAATGACTTTGTTACCTAGAGGCATTTGAATGAATGTAATGGCCTGTATCCAACAAATTCTCATAACCTCTTGTGTTTTAACTGGGATGTATGGGTAGGGATGCATATTTCATAGTGTGCTTCACCCTAGGCAAGTGTTAAAGATAGAATATAGCTGATAATTAGTAAGCATACTCTGTAAATTATCAGCTAAAAATCCAACATTACAGGCAACTAGTTAGTAAAAATAAGTTTCTAAAAATTTAACTGTTGAGTAATTAATCTACTGTGTGGCTTCATCTGCACCATTTGTCAGTGGGAGCACATTTTTAGTCCATTAGAAACTGTCAGGCTTCATGACAGTTTAGCCCAGTGGGGGAGAATTTCCAACACAGTGATTAGATTTTTATGCTACTGGGTAATTTATGGTCAATGTTCAAAGCATTTCTAAGGCAAGATTTTAGGAATAAGATTTTTAAAATATAGAAGAAATTTCAGATGACTTTCTTGCAATATGCAAATGGATTCATTTAAATATTAAATGTAAAGATATCCAGGTTAATATGTTCTAAGCAAAGAATGAATAACTATAAATTATTATGATTTCTTATCATAATTATATGTCCTCTACTTAGAAAATTTCTCTCAGGCTATGGAACCAAGGACAGGGTAAGTAATATCAAACATAATTTTGTTTTTATTTAATACTTTATACATTCTGACAATTAAGAGTGTAATTCATAATCCTGTTCCCTTCATATGTAAGCAATTGTTTCAAAATATGATGCAAGCTGAAAGCCAAAATATAGTGTCCTGACTCTAGATATGAATTATAATTGCTCAGTATCACCATAAATCTTCCTTTGGGTTCAGATCTATTCAGAAAGTGAGCATGCATTTATGTATGTTGGATGGCTGTGTGGAAAAAGTAAGAAGTATTAAACAGAATATGCTTTAACATGAAACAAACCAGAGTTCTAGATGTTTTAAGGCAAAGTGCCTCATATTACATCTTCTTTGGAGACAATAAAATTTGGGTTTTGGCTCAGACCTCCCCCCAAAAAAATTAGGTAGTTGGGTGTTTTCAATATTTCAGTTTACTGATTGCCCATGGTGATCATAGCACCCATGTATTGCTGCCTTTCAAAATCTGGAAGATCATAAATAGAATTTAATACTAAAGCTATGATTTGGATTCCAAATTACTTTTGTATTCCCATGGATCTCTGGAAACTAGAGATGTGTACAACTGCTCATCAATAGAAATTTAGTTGAAAAAGCACTAAATATACCAGCTTACTACTATTGCAGAAAAAGATGTTTAGTTTCTGTTTGGCCAGATTTGGTTATCTGCAAAATGGAGATTACACCTTCACAATACAGGCTTTTGTTTGCATCACTCATGAGTAGTACACTGGGATGGAATGATGGGTGTGGTGTGGGGCAGGAGATATACAGTTAAAAACTGGTATCACCCATTTAATCATTTACCTAAATTGAGGGGGGCTGTGAGCACCAATTTGAATTTGTTCTCGGGCAGCTTCTGGTCTATAAGAATTGCACCTCACCTAGAAGAGAAAGGCATCCCAATAAATAAGCTTCCATTCCAATTATACATTTTCTAGTTTAACTGCTCCAAATTATACCAAAATATAATTTTAGAATGAATAGATGACAAACAATTTTAGCAGACTAGATAAAACCTTCATCAGTAGTAACATCTATTATTCTAATCCCCAGAGTAGGAGTTTTTTCAATATGAGTAATTATACAATTTGGTAAATTAGAGAGTTTCCAGACATGTGCTTTAAATCAAAAAAATCATATATGTGCCCCAAAATTAATCAATGCATTTCCTTCAATTAATTTAATGTTTTAAATATCCCATATCAAATGTAATCATGCTCATTTGAACCAATAAAGTAAATCGGCCATTTAGAATTGAGTATGGTCATGAGAAGTTACTATTTTGCCCCAAGTATTTTCCTTGCCTCAACCTAGTCTCAGCCTGGAACAGGAGTACATTTCTCCATTTCCTTTGAAGTTAGGCACAGAAATCTAACTTGTTCTGACCAATGAAACATGAGCAGAATGATAGATGTAACTTCTGGGCAGAGGCTTAAAAAAACTGACAGAAGTTTTAAGAGCCTTAGGAATACATTAAGGGGCAATGCACATTTCCTTACATTTCTTCCCTATACCTGTGGTGACCATGAAATTACATGTCAAGATAAAGATTCCAAACCCTAGGCCCTTATGTAAAAATTACAGGCAGGGCCCTACTGCTAATATATGATGGACTTGGGGCATGAACAAGAAATACACTTTCGTTGTGCTGTTCTTTTCTGCAGTATAACCAACTTAATTCTGACTCAAAGTATATCTTCAAATATGATATAATCTTCAAGTATGAACAGGACTAGGACACATGGAAACGGTGGTGGGGAACATTCTAATGGCAGGGCAAATGAGAAAATGATTGGGAGAGGGGGAAGGCAAGACACTGAACTTGATTGCAATAGGTTGTATATAATTGGCAGCAATGGAAGACCAAGTGAGACAGAATGGCGAAAGATTTTTGAAGTCCTAAGCAATAGACTAAAGTTTTTAAACTATATTTTAACATTGTTCTTGAGCAGGAAAATAAAATCCATATTTTTCAAAGATTTGTCTGGTAGGCATGTAGAGTAGAAGGAGGAAATTAAGAGACTAGTTAGAAGATTATTTATGGGCAATGAATATCCACTAAATAAGTAGGAATAGGAATGGAAAGAAGTAGAAGGATGAGAAGAATCTCCAAGAAAAGAAATTGATAGGTCACAGCAACTGCAAGAATATAGGAAACAGGAAAGGTGATATGATGCTATTAATTTTGATGACTATAAATCATCAGTCATTGTGTTTCTGAATTGATTTTGAAAATGTTTTTTTGTAAATGATTCTTTAATTTCCTCAGAAGCTATCTAATGTGAACTTGTTTTGACATTTGATTTTTACCTCATTTCTTTTTAGGTTACTTTGTCTTATACCCTTACATTATTATATATAATTGTCTATGTCACCTATGTCACTTAAGAGATTTCTGAAAACACATTATGGTTGTTACTATTTTCCTAGTACCTTCCCAGGAGGGAAAATAACTTTGCTTCCTATAAGCAGACTTAACTCCAATGTGCAAAAGATTGAAAATATCCTCATTCTGTCAGTAGGAAAAGCTCTAAGATAAATTTCTCATTAGTGATAAAAATAGCTTTCCACTTTTTCCCTAAATCTCTTTACTTTAAAATAAATCAGAAATGGTTTAATATTACATTTGGAAACATTTTAAAATTATAACTATATCATCACTATTAATTAGTTTATTTCATCTGTGAAGAAGTAATTTGGACTAGGATGTAAATAGTAAAAATGAATGAACCCTTGTACTTTGTCCTCTAGATCTGGGATTAGCAGACTCTCTGTAAAGAGACAGATAGCAAATATTTTAGTCTCTGAAGACCAGAAGGTACCTGTTTAACTAATCAACTCTGCCACCGTAACACGAAATCAGCTAGAGTATAGCTATTTTTCAATAAAACATTATTTACAAAAACAGGAAACTGCCAACCTTAACTGGAGAAAATTCTTACTGTTGTTTGTGTGCTTATTTTAACACCTGACCCTATAATCACCCAAAAGGAAGTCTACCTAGTTGAATCATGTTAGCCTTTTCCTTTTGAAGCAATTGATCTAAAAATATCAAGCATCTTCAATCTATTCAGCATCTTTGCTGGGTGCTATGGAGGAAAATAACAAGTATAAGGATCCAGAAGATTAGCTGTGGAGATCAACCTGAAAGTCTTGAACATTTTGAGAGCAATTAAGTACTCAACTGAATGTTAGTAAAAGGAAGTATAACAGGAGTTAGAGATAAAAGAAAATAATGAGGACTGGACTGGAATCCTTTGGGAAGAGTTATGGATGAGGTGAAACTCAACATGGTTCCTGAAGAAGAAAGCTGAGACTGAATAATAATTTGGGGAGGAAAAGTAGGGAGGGGGCCACATTATAAAAGGAGAATCAGAAGCAAGGCCACAGAGACAGTAATGAGCATGACATCATGGGGGCGGAAGTGGGGATACTGCCTGGATAAGGTTGAGTTTTTCTGATCCAATGAAGCTGTAGGAAATTAAAACAGATCAGGTAGAGAAGGATCAGACTGAGAACTTTGAAAGCCAGATGAAGGTATTTAGACTCAATGTTATAGACATTTGAGAACCATTGTTGTTCTTTTAGTAGATCAGTACCGAAATAAAATGGTATTTCAGTGAAATGTAAAAGAGTAGTAAAAGATGCTGAAGTAAGGAATACATGCCATAAGGCTGTTGGGATAATCCAGAGCAGAAGACATCAAAGCTTTGCCTATAGATGAGATAGGGTAATGGGGATGCTGTAGGCTGAATGTTTGTTTCCCCCAAATTCAGCAGAACCTTATGCTACTGGCATCCTGATTTCAGACTTTCAGCCTCCAGAACTATGAGAAATACATTTTTGTTTATGAGCCTGAACTGCCTAAAACAAGAGAGAATGAGAGGTTGAATCTAAACAGTATTTAAAAAGATGAAACATCTGGGATGGAGCTGGAGCTCAGCAGTAGAGCACCTGCCTTGTGTGTGTGATGCACTGAGTTTGATCCTTAGCACCACATAAAAATAAATAAATACAGGGGCTGGGGCTGTGGCTCAAGTGGTAGCGCGCTCGCCTGGCATGCATGTGGCCCGGGTTCGATCCTCAGCACCACATACAAACAAAGATGTTGTGTCTGCCAAATACTAAAAAAAAAAAGTAAATATTAAAAAATTCTCTCTCTCTACCTCTATCTCTCTCACTCTCTCTTTTAAAAAAATAAATAAATAAATAAATAAATACAATAAAGGTATTGTGTCCATCTACAACTAAAAATTTTTTTTAAAGATGAAACATCTAGATTTGGTAAAATATGGACAGTTAAATCAAATAGACTTTCTAACTAGGGAGATTAAAAAAAACTGGGTGTATGTTAATAGAAATCTGAAAACTAAAAAGGAAAGTGATTTTGTTGATATTGGATTGATCAATGATAATTGGTTTGGTGTTTTCATGCCAGTTTCAAGAGATAAAAGATCCCAGACAGGTAGGAATTCCTTAATCAGAGTATTAGGAATTAGGAACAGGTAGGAATTCCTTAAGAAGACATGGATGTGCTTACTGAGGAATGAATGCAAAGACTTAGGAACAAATGGTGGTACTGATGAAACTTTTGTCGAGCTTTGAGCATGTACTTAAATGTTTGCCCACTGTGAGGCCATACATCAGAACCTTTATAGACACATCATGACTTTTTTGAAAATGTTGTCTATACATTTGTGACACAAACCAGTGCAATAACCAATGGCAAAGAATTGGTACTTGCTTCATTAGCCAGAGACTCAACTGAGAATTATACCTTATTTAGTGTTTCCTTCCAATTTCTGCCCCAATAACATATTAAACTCGTGAAAGAGTAACATGATTCTCCTTGCCTTTGTCATTATTTTTCAGCTCCAACAGTCCTTGTATATTTATTTGACAGTTGGGAACCCAGACCTGAGTGTCCCCCATAGGTTGAGAGGGATAGGATGAATTCAGCAAGTGAGGCAAAGGAAAAGGAGAAATGTAGGGAAGGGCAGGGCCACAAAAATCAAGGAACACATTACTGGAAATGATTACAAGTAGTACCAAATGCATGAAGAAGTCCAGATATATTGAGGAACTATATGGTTAATTAGTTAAAAAATTAGTTCACTGGTTAAAAAATACCAGTGAACTTTGAATCAATAGGTTAATTATTATATGTTTTACAGAACATTAAGATGATGGATTTTATCCTGAAAGAAATCAGCGAGAGAATATTTTGGACAAAATTAAAGTCATGCCATTAAACTATGATGAAAGCCACAAGCTCAAGTTCTGCATTACATCCTTGATGCCCCTTCCTCAGTGTACTCACATGGGCATAACTCAAGAAGAAGAGCTGGTTGTTGTTGAATGTAATGCCTGGTAGGAGAGGCTCCTCAACTCCTTGCCTTCTCTCATTTACCCATTTCCTATAAGCCTAGTGAGAGAAACAGGATAGATGAGCTGTGAAATGATGATTTTCCCTTTATTCCTCCAATACAGACATATTAAATATATACTCCTGCCATTTGCAAAATGCAATGTATCAAATTTTCCTTTAAGAAAACAAACACCTAGAAGTTAATGTCTTTCCACTTAAGAGTGAAGTAGGTACACCAGAAAAAGACCTTACACTCAATAACTACCAAAGGAGCTGAGCCACAGTACTGAGACATTAAATAATTCTTTTTAAAAAGAATTCAACATGGGACAAACAAATGTAACACCATGACAAGGCCCTCAGGGAAATATATCTGTGGGTACACATATTATCAATTCTTTATTTTTTCCAATTAGCAGGAAAACTATCATCATTGATCACCATCATTTTATAAAACAAAATATATTTTAATAAGCATATAGGAAGGATATAGCCTTGTAATAATAATCTGGTCTTTTTATTATATTTTGATAAATAGCCTTAAGAAAAGGATATATAGCACATCAAAAACCTGGTATTTAAAGTGAATGTATTTAGCTTTATGAAAAATTTCCCATATTATACTTGTTTCTTATTTAACCAAAGACCAATGGATGACAAAAACAGTATTATAGACTCTTATCTGGACCAATACATGAGAATCACTAGCCTCTGCCCATAATTTAGACTTTGGGTATTTTAAGATAAAATTTTAAGTAGAGAGAGAGAGCTGTACTCAGGGAAAACTCATATGTACCTAGCCCCAAGGAGGTTTCTGTAGCATACTTTGATATGATTGTGAGTGTATTTTCTGAAAACTTTCTTTTAAATTCATGATTCTTAATAACAAATATTATTCTTTAGGGTAACTTTATGCCTCAAAAACAAAAAAAGAAAAAAATGCAGATCTATTTATGTAATAGAGTATAATAGAGTCGATGGGGAAATACAATTCTATTTATAGAAACTCCAGAATACCCAACTCCTAAGAACATGTCTGCAGTATAAATTGAGGTGCACCCATACAGTGTTTTATAGATTAATTTTTAAAACCACAGCAAACATTGCAGTTCATACCCTAAAAGCTTCCCGCAGACCTCCATTATCGGCAATATTTTCTCCTAGGGTCCTCTTCCCCTTCACCTAACAAAAAGAAAAAAAAAAGAGTTTCACGGTCAACTATCATTCAGCAAGAGGCATAAATATTATAGCAAGCAAAAGTGTCATATTTTAAAGAGAAAATTACATTCAGTAAATCAGAGGTAGTCATAATATATTGCGAGATGGCAAACTAACCCCAGCAAGGTGCTCTTGAATATAATAATTTCTATTTTATTATGCTGCACATTACTTTCTCACCCTCTTTAATCTCACCAATTTTTTCTAGCTCCAATAAAATATTAACAATATTCTGAGTGACTCTGGTTTAATGGGAAAAAATAGAAATGTCAATACACAGATTACTTTCTCTGATTAACTCATATAATTTGAGTATTCTCCTCATTGTACCTATGTTTCCAAAAATTTGCCATCCATACAGGAACAAGATTTCAAGAACAACCATTATCATTTTGCCTCTAGTAATTTCCATGAAAAATTAAAAGAAAGATAGCTCTCCTGGGGAACAAAAATCAAACAGTAGTGCAGACCACAAGGTCAAGGTTTGCAATGTGTATGACACCCAGTCAAGCACAGAGAAGATCATTCTTCTGATTATTTGAAAACCATTTCTTAAAATCTCAAATGAGCCAGAACCTAAATATTTTAAATATTCTAAATCAATACAGCTCACAACCCAAAGCCACCCTGCCACTTGTTTTAGTACAGGCTACCAGGTATGACTGGGTTTTACATTTTTCAATGATTGGGGAAGAACAATAAAAAGGAGAAGAATATTTTATGGTATGCAAAAATTATGTGAAATTCAAATTCAGTGGTCATAAATTAAATTTTATTGGAACACAACTATGCCCATTCATAAACACACTGTCTGTGGTTACTCATTTTACAAAAGCAGAGTTTAGTATTTACAATAGAGACCACATAACCTACATTGCCTAAATTACTTACTGTTTGGACTTTTACAAAAATATTTGCCAGATCCAGTGTAATAGGCAGGATACTGGCCTCCCAAAGATGTCTACATCCTAATCCCTAAAACTTGTAAATATATTATCTCACAATGACAAAGGGGACTTGTAAGATATGATTAAGTCAAGGATCATGAGATGGGAACATTGCTGGATTACTCAGGTGTACTCAATGTAATTACAAGGGTCCTAAACAGGTCAAGAGAGTAAGTGTCAGAGTGATCCAATGTGAGAAGACTACACTGGCCATTGCCAACTTTGAAGGGAGGAACCATGAGCCATGGAATATGGGCAGCCTCTAAAAGTTAGAACAGACAAAGAAACAGATTCTCTCTTAGTTCCTCTAGAAAATAACATAGACCTTCTGACACCTTGATTTTACACCACTGAGACTTGGGTCAGACTTTTGGCATACAGAACTACATGACAATAAGTTAGTGTTGTTTTAAGTTACTAAGTTTGCAATGATTTGTTACAGCAGCAACAGGAAACTAACACAAGCCATGGATCCTACCAACTCTTTACTTTTAATCTAGCCCAATTTCCCAGGTATTAAGTAACACTAACAAATAAAAACAAATCTTTATAGAAGTACTTTGGATTAGACAAAGGGGAATGAAGGGAAGGTAGGGGGGAAGGGAGTAGGAAAAATAGTAGAATTAATCCAATGTAACTTTCCTAAGGTCATATATGAATAAGTGATCAGTGTAACTCCACACCATGTACAACCACAAGAATGGGAAGTTATACTTCATGTATGTATGATATGTCAAAATATACTCTATCATGTATAACTAAAATGAACAAATAAATTTTAAAAAAATCTTTGAAAACATTTTTTGCTATAATCACCCAGAATAACCCTGCTAATTTTAGTCCCCAAAAGTCAGCATTCCTGCTTTACCTACATTCTTTTACTACAATCCTATGAGGTAAGTCCTATTATTATCATTCTTATTTAATAAATGAAGATCTGAAACTCAGAATATGTAGCAGTTGTTGTTAGTATCCCATTGGATCCCTTTTTCTACCAGGACTATGAACCCATTCCTGTAACTGATAACAGCTCAGGAAGTAAACCTTAGTTTATGAAAGCTACCATACCTGGAGGTTGCTGGGAAGTTATACTCCACCTTCCAGTAACTGACTAATATGCAGGTGGAAGAGCCCCATCCCTTGCCCCTGGGCTGAACAATTTCCATGGTATGCTTCATGCTCTAGAACCCTTTGTGGGATCAGGGTAAAGCTAAACTCCTCCTGAAACCAATATGTTTTCCTCACTCCCTTACAAGTTTCTCATGAAACTACTTTGATAAATTACTGATCTAAGAAACTCCTCCTTGGTCTTTGCTTCTAATAATCTGCTCTAAGACAGAGTGGCTAAGTAAACTGCTAACATTTCTCAGAGATTGAAACCTAAGCAGTCTTCTGTCTCCAGAGTCTTTGTTCCGTAATGCATAACTTCTCAACTCCTCTTGGCTCTTGATATTTGTGTTTATATCCACTCAAGCTTAAATCTCTCCTTCGTTTTTAGTCTAAGCTTTATAACTAAAATAGAAGCTTTTGAAGTATCCTCAACCTCTGGTTCCTGGCACTATGGACAATCTCAGTGAGGGACATGGCTCTAAGTTTGACCTCTCAGGACTTAACAGCTGCTGATAGTCTGTATCTTTGGTACCCCATCTATGCTCCTCCCAATTCACTGAGAGAGAGAGAGAGAGAGAGAGAGAGAGAGAGAGAGAGAGAGACTAAATCTTACAAATGAAACCAGAAAAAATAAACCATGGCACCTTTTGGCCACAAAAGAAGCCACCCACTCTCCTGTGTGAATAAGACAGAAGCCGTTTTCTGATGGTTGGATGGACTTACACTGAGACAGTCATGCCTTTTCTATTGTCCTTGTAATGAAGATACACATTTGTCAGAACTGTTTCAATATTTGACACTTTGTTCAAAATGGATGCTGAAGAATAGCCTACCTATACATCACCCAGGTATAAAATGAACTTAAACTAAGAGAACCAGAGTATAATATGGGGGTAAGAATGCCAACTCTGGAGTTATGAAGATATAAACTCTAATCCAGACTCTACTGTGGGCACGAATCTCTTTGATCATCAGATTTCTCATATGTAGAGCATGTATACCTAGTAATATGTTCACCTCTGAGGAACATTATGAGGGTCACATTTATTTCAGTTAACTGAAAACTCCCTCATGCCTACAGATAATAATCACAAAGAAATATGAATCTTTTTACTGCAAGAAAACTACTGTTGTCTTTTCAGACCTACAAGTCTTTATTTTCTCTGGAGTAGGCTACCTCTTAGTATGAGACAAAGAATCAGAAATATTAACTATCTCTTACTGAGCACTTCTTGCAACAGCATTATGCTAGTACTTCACTCATTTAATTCTTACAACAAATTAATTAGTTCAGAAGTATTTACCCATTTCATAGCTGAAGACACTGATACTTAGAAACATTAACTTGCCTAATTCATAAACCTGGGAATTTATCTTGGTGTATATGATATTCTTTTTTTTTCTGGACATATAATACTTGTACATATGTATATGGTACAATGTGATATAAACATATTTACATTGTATAATGATCAAATCAGAGTAATTAGCAAGTCCATCACCTTGAATTTTTATCATTTCTTCATAGTGAGTATATTAAAAATCCTTTCTTCTAGTCATTTTGAGAGATCCATGCAGTATTGTTAACTATAGCCACCCTACTATGCAGCAGAACACAAGAATTTATTACTCCTATCTATCATATTGTCCCCATTGGCCAACATTTCCCCACCTCCTAACCCCCTACTATCTCCAGGCTCTGGTGACCACTATTTTCCCCTCAACTTCTATGATTGACTGACTGACCTACCCACCCAATCTCTGTAGCTTTCTTTTTCCTGAGGATGGAACCCAGAGCCTCATGCATGCTAGGCAAATGCTCTACCACTGAGTGACATCCCAGCCCTTTTTATCTTATTTTTGAAATAAATTGCAAGTTGCTGAGGCTAGCCTCAAACATGTGATCATCCTGCCTCAGCCTCCTGAGTTCCTGGAATTATAGTCATATGCCACCACAACTAACTGAAAAAAGGTTTGTTTTAATAAATGATGCTGGATCAACTGGTTATCTTCTAGGAAGAAAATATCAGTGAATTCTCATATTAAACTCCATAGAAAAATCAATTTCACATGCATGAAGAATTATATGTAAAATAACAAAACAATAAACAACATTCCCAGGAAAACTAGAAGATTTCATATATGACAACTTCTTAACAAAAAATGGAAAAGTGGAAATGATTTTCAATTTTAAATATTTTATGTTGAAACATATCATATACAAAGTCCAAAGGATAAGTAACAAATCTGGGGGAAATATATATAATGGAAACAATAGGCAAAAGTTTAGCATCTATATTATTTTAAAAGGTTGTTCTAATTTGACAAGAAAACAACAACTCAATAGATAATCACACATAATAAAGGAGTTTATTGCATCAGCATTTGTAACACCTCAACAAGAGATTATTTGACTAAATTATAACAGAACATTCACACCCAGGATTCTGAGGCAGCCATTGGATACAATGTACTAAAGTTGCATGTATCCCTACCTTTAAGCAAGCAGGGGGAAAGTATAACATTGTAACAAATGTTATAACCAATGTTATAGGTAGGGACAGTAAGACTGATAATAGGAAAAGGATATGTAAGTGAAGACAATAAAAGGAAAGAATTGACATTTCATTCACATAGACCATGTATAAAATTGTGTTCGTGTCTTTATGGAAAATTATTATATAATGGAAAATAAACATTTTAAAAGTATGTTTCCTTTGTTCAAACTTCTAAAACTATGAACTCTTAACCAGTTCTCAGACTATTAGTTCAAATTAATGAGAGTTGATTTCAATAAATTAAACCTAAGCAATAGTTTCGATGGAATTTTTTTAAGAAAATGTCATGAGATGTAGGAGATTTATAAGGATGTTATTGTTTGTACTATAGGATTTTTTTGACATTAAGTCTGAATCTAGGCAAATAAATTACTTCATAGATCCATCTTTCTCAAACTGCAGCTTTTATCAATCACCACGGGGATTATAAAAAGACAGACAGACCACAAGGCTATCAGGCTCCACCCCTAGAGATTCTGATTCAGCAGGTCTGGAGGAGAAATCAAGAATTTGCATTTCTAACAAGTTCCCAGGGAAGGCAGATGTTGTTGATCTCAAAAGCACACTTTAAGAACCAATGGTCTAAAGCAAGCTAATATCCAAATGAGGAAAAATGGTCCATGAGATGCTTCCTTAACCACAGTTGTACTCACATTTAAGCCAGCTTTCTTCCAATAATAGCTGCTATACTGGTTAATCATGCACTTTGTTTTTTCTTTAAACTTTTCTTCTGAATCCATAGACCACCAAGGATCTAGGTTTCCATTTTTGTCAAATTTTCTACCTAGCAAAAAGGAAAGTTATAAGACATTAGTGTTATTTATGGAAACTAAATTCAACATCTTTCCTTTTTCTCACCTTGACAAGCTTTCAAAATGCAGTCATAACAGCAGGGAACACCCTTCCTGAGAACAGCTTCTGCATTCTTTCCAATATCACAGGTTAAATGTAAAGAGGGAGGAAGGGAGAACAAGGATTGAGAAAATTCTTTCCTTCTAAGGAACAAAGAGCATTTTAAAAAAATGAGATTCCTCAATTTAATGTATGCACCAGTCTTATCCAAATTTGGATTCTGTGTTTTCACCTGATCTGACCTGAAATGTTCTCTGGATTGTGAAATGAAATGGTTTCATTCAGAAAGTCTGTGGAGGGAACCAGAGCACCACTATCAGTGAAGTTCCAAACGATCCATAGGAACAGATCCAGCGAGTTATCCACACATAGGACCATACGCCCTACTCAGCCCCATAGGAACATGTTTCCTCCAAGTTGCCAGGAGCCAAGAGACATATAAAAGCTGGTATAAATCAATCTACAGTCATCAGTATGGATAGAAGGACCCATTTTTCCTACTTAGACAAGGAAGATTGCGCTATAAAAGAGAACTTGGAACAAGAACAGAAATCTCTAAAACATAATGGGGAAAAAAAGATTAGTTACACATGGTATATTGCTATATGCTAACTCACTAATTTCCCTACACTCTTCAAAACAACAATTTAGGTACATCTAGACTACTGTCTATATTCAAGGTTACTATATGGTTTAAATTTAATTATGCAAAAATTGTTAAAAGGCCTCCAAAACAAGGGTCCTCTAAGAAAGAGCTTACATGAAAGCCCTCTACCCAAAGGTGTTAATTAGAACAATCCAAAACTCTTTAGCAAGACTGTATGCTAATAATACGACCACCTGGAATGGTGTGGAATCACTGCCCTCCACCCACCAACCAAGCAATCATTAAATAGTTAGTGCACATATACTTATATGTAAATACACTGTTCTAAGTATTGGTCACAAAGCAAAATTCTGTCCTTTGGGAAAGATTCCAAATGGATCTGGTGGAGAATCATACTTAAGTTTCCTAGGAAGAAACATACAAAACCAATTGCTTTTGTTTCATAGTTAAGACTCTATTCTCAGATAAACCAAATGTCCAAAGGTAGAAAAATGAGTTCCAAGAAGTCAGATGATTACAAGGCAGTTACATTTTAACAGAGAGAGGGAGACCAAGAGGTAGAAAAACTAGGTGATTAAGGGCAGGCTGGTGGGGGCAGGAAGAAATGTCCAGAAGAAAAAGAACCTGAAATGTCTCTGGCCCTGGGGTAGGCATTCAGTAAAGGATGTTAGAGACACTACAGGCACAAGGGAAACAAGTCCACAGCATTCCCTTGGGCCAGCCAAGTTCTTAAGACTGCCTGTACATACATTATTATTACTGTGTGTATATAGGTGAATGCATGACCAATGTGATTCTGCAACCTGTATACTCAGAAAAATGAGAAATCATATCCCATCTGATTCAAATGTATGATATGTCAAGGTCATTGTACTGTCATGTGTAACTAATTTAAACAAAAATAAAATAAAATAAAAGATTGCCTGTAAATCATTTTGTGGATGTGATAATAGTTTGCTAATTCATAAACGTCAGAGATTTCCTATGGCTTTCCAATAATACTTCAGAGAAAGGAGTGCTGATCTAAAATAAGGACTCTCAGAAGCAATCATTTCTTTAGTTTAGATTATATTCTGCTCTCTTTTGCTTAAATGTCATCATGATGTACAACATATTCTATATTGTGCCTTATTAGACAAGCCTAGCCTTGATAAAAACAAACTCAGAATATATGCCAATATAAAGAAAAACAATGATTAAGCATTGCATAAGCCTTGGAATTGCATAAAGAAACCAGTCAGCCAAGCTCAAAGGCCTAACTTGGCAGTGCAGCATGTAGAGTCATCTTTGGGGCAGAGCTTGCACCTCCAGGGAAAACATCTCAAAATGGTGAATTTTAAAAAATGACAAAGGGAAGAAGCTATAATACAATTCCTGTAACTACTGTGGCAAGTACAGCAATCCTGATATAAATGCAGAGGTAATATCATTGGAATTACAAGGTCTTCTTTTTTATTCTCCCCCAATTACCAATGAGAATAATTGTTTATTTATTGCAAGCTATCACAGCAAGACATGTGGAAAAGTTTTCAATCAGCAATTGTATTTATTGTATTGGACAATTTTTAGTCTACGATGCTGTTGCTATGCAAAGATAATAACAACAATTAACACCCACATAGTGAACATTATTACAAAAGTGGCAGCTTATAAAATAAACTAGTACTTACCATTATTATCAAATCCATGTGTAAATTCATGTCCAACAATTACTCCGATAGCACCATAACTCAGAGATCTGTATCATAAATACACAATTTGGGGAAAATTATAAGCATGAATCTGAGAGCATAATCCCTTAATTTTTCAACAAAAGCCAAGACAATCTGTTTTCTAGTAGCCATAATAATAAAAATCTAATAACCACACGAATGAAACTGTAAAACAAACTGTCTAAACATACCCTTCTAATCAAAATGAACAAAGAAAATACAAATTCTAACATTGTCTTTGTGACCTTGTATAGACCTTAGTATCCTACCCTGAAAAATTAAGAATATGAAAAAGATGATTTCTAAAATCCCTTCCAGCCTCAGATTTCTATGATTCTACATCTGCTCTAGTGATATTTTATACTTATGAACACTTAAAACAGGGATTAAAAAGATCCTGTCAGTAAATATACTATTTTTTATCTGAAAACTTGTTGAAAAGTCACTATAATCTTAGAAGTTAAATTGTTTTCCAAATATAGTCATAAAAAAGAAATAGAGCAGAGATTAAAAGGGATCACTCTGTTTTCAAAGGTAGTCACATTCCTGTTTCTGTGGCAGACAAGCTGACAACTGAATAGCAAAGGCTGTGAAGCTTTCATCAAATTTGGAAAAGGTGTTATATTATTTCTCCTCACCTCTGAAGAAGCATGCATTAGACTCCCTACAATGGCAACCACCAATAATTCCACGCACCCCTGAGTAGACATGCCCCCTCTTCCAATCAAAAGGGGATCTATTTCCCTGCCCTTGGATCTGAACTGGACCTGGGACTTCTCAAGACTAAGAGAAAAAAAAATGGAAGGGGCCAGGTATGATCTTTGGGCTAAAGCCTGAAGAGACCTCATAGTTTCCCTTTGCTACCCTTTCAAAAGTTAACTACAATGTAAAGAATTTCTACATAGTTGGAAGGAAAGGTCAGGTGAACCAAGAGAGAGACTCCAAAAGTTGAGAGACTCTGAAGGAAGAGAGGCCCGTCTCATTAAAGCCAGCCCGAAGATCCAGTAAAGTCATCATCCTCCTCCAGCCCTATGCACCTACCCAGCCAACACCACAAGAAGCAGGGACAAACTGTCTTCAGTTTGGTCCTGCCCAAAATATAGAATCATCAGCCAATAAATGGTTATTTGGTGGTACTTCATTATGTAGCAATTGATAACTGAAACAAACATACGCATAATATATGAAGAAATCAATAATGGGATTTCCATATGTGTATGTGTATAATTTTCTCTCTCACCTATAAGTTCCATGAAGACACAACCCTTATCTACTTGTTCACTGCTAAATTCTCTGTACCTAGTACACAATAAGAAAGTTAACAATGATTTAACTAATGCTTAATTAACTTTACCATTTCATACAAATGGCAGATCTATATGTATCTTATTGAAGTCATTTAACCTGTGGATGAGGAATATAGACTATTTAGAATATTACTGTTAGGATTCTTCATGAGATTTACAATGATGCTAAAAATCTCTCACAGTTGGTTCCTGACATGCAACATCAAAGTCACCCAGCAAATAGATAGGACCCATAACTGGAAAGAACAGAAATTTCTGAAGCAACATGTTATTACAGGATATAATGATCCTTAACATGCTAATTGTTTGTCTCAACTATACCCAAGGAAGTGCTGTAAGATTTAATTTTTCCCCTTGGTGGCAATTCTTTCCTTTGTTATTTCTTTCCTGCAAGGTAATTTGCATTTGGGAAAAAAAAAAAAGCTTCCTACTGTTTTTCCATCATTGCAAACCTTCATTAAAGAAGTAAGAGCAAAATTATGCATTTCAATCATGGAGCTATCATAGCAGTATGGGACAAACTTGTAATTTTACGTAGTGCTAATTCTTGCAGCAGTAGCTATCACTATGCAGCCTGCAACATTTAGTTTTTCCAGATTGTTCAGCCCTGGGAATGAATACTCAGTCCTCTACAATCTTCAGTCAATGCTGTTGACTGGATGAATTTAAGGCACAAAAAATGGAAGCTTATAGAAACTGCTCTGCAATAAATGTCCCTTAAGAGGAACTGCACCAACAGACTTTCTATTTGCAAAGGATAATAGAGAACTCAGAAAATGACTAAGTTTAAATTAATAAGTTTCGATTCTCAGTTACAAAGTCACAATCCTTTGGACAAGAGACAAAGAAAAGGTACTTTTATATGATTAAACCTTATAATGGTAATGTTTCATAACATTAAATTTATATCCTCCATTTTATCAATGGACATTATTTAAATTAGCATGACATTATTTAAATGCAACTGGCTGGCCAGAAATCTGAAGAGTTCCTGTATTGAACATCTAGCCTGCCAAAAATAAAACAGGGAAGATGAAAATTTCACTACCTACTCAGTTTCTCTTTTGTTCTTACCATCCAATGGGTTTAATATGTACAGAACATTCACTGTCAATAATAAAACAACTATATTATTATCTGGACACACCATGATCTCATGCTATTATAAAGTAGGCTACCCTGTGTTTGGATCATAAAAATCTCCAGGTTGAAAGTGGTTTGGAGGTCATCTAGCTCAAACTTTCTACTAAGAGGCATGGTTTCCTGTACAGAAACTTGTTCAAATGGTCATAAGGTGTCTGCTTTGATATTTCCAAATGACCAGGAGCTCAGCCCCTTCTGAGGTAGCCAATTCTCTTTTTGGGTGGTTCTATAAAAAACAGTTCTATTATTGATCTGAAATTTCTTTCCCCTGCCTTCAATGTATTGATCCAGTAAAGTCTAGCTAAACACCTGCTGATTTTCCTGAATATAAGAAATCATTCTGCCACCTTCATTTTCCTTCAAAAACATGAAAATAATGAAAATAATTACACAATTCACCTTCAAATGTTCTCAAATTATTATTCAATCATGAACTCTAGACCAGCATTTCCCAAAACACAGGGAAAAGAGTTTTTGAATCCCTAGGTTAAACCCATTAGGTTTCTTTCTTGTAGAACTTGGGAACTTTTATGCTGATGAGTATTGTGATTCTCCAAAAATAGAAGGGTGAAGGGATTACTAACTTCTAACATTTCATGGAACACACACTTTTGGAAATGTTGTAATGCTATCTTGGCCATTTACAATTCAGATTCTCTCCTCTGGAAACAATTTGACTTGTTCATGTCCTCATAATTAGACCCAACACTCAGGTGAAGGATAAGCTGACTAATGTGAGCAGAAAGGATACCCAGTTCTTTGTGGTTATCAATCAATTAATACAGTATAGATAGATGCATGGGAAGCCATCTCACTGGACCGTGATTTCTTTGTCTCCAGCATCTCTATGTTCCCAATGCCAAACACCCAAACAATACTTCATAGCTATTTGTTGAGTGAATATCTTAATAGATGATAGATGGCTTAGTGAGGACATAGAACTCTTTAGGAAAAAAATATAAATCTCTCTCACTGAAGTAACAACTATGGCTGAGCCTAAGATGGAACTAATAGGCACAAATATTAATTCCTAAGTTTCTATGACTTTGACTTTGATATCAGAAAATCATGCTCATGAACTCAGTAACAAATCATTGAACTAGTAACTTCCAAACCTAACCATACTATTTCTAAGTCTCCATCTACCTAACAACAATAATAGAAGCTCAGTTAAATTTTTACTGATAAACACAATCAAAGAATTCTAGAACTTTTAGTTTAAAGGAATCTTGGAGAATATTTGGCTTAAAACTTTAGTTTTATGGAGATATATCTATGTCTATATGTAAAAATCTTAAATATAGGGAAAATTGATTCCAAATATCTGGACACTAAAGAAAACTAAGCAGCTGAGGCCTGAGATGGTATAAAAGTTGATTAAATACAAGCCTAAAATTTGCATTTATTGTAACAATGATGCTGTAGGCTTTATTGGTAGCTGCCCATGTTCCCTGAGTACTCATCATTTCTAAACAATCAACAACTTAATTCTTTGACTTTATATTTTGACCTTTGCAAAGACACCATGATCTTCCCTCCTAACTTGTCAATAATTGGTTTCTTTACTAATTTACTCACCGAGGATATTCTGTTCCCCAAAAGAAAGGCTTTTGCAGCTCTCCTGCTGGAAATCCTGCGAGAAAGAAAACCAAACAAACAAAAAATGTTAAGGGATATAGAGATTGATTCATTGAATTCCTCCTTACAGCTAAAGCCTGAAGCTTCCAAAGGCCCATCTGGAACTAGGGACCTCTAATCTCTTTAATGGTGATATTAATTCATCTGAGCTTGAAATAAGTGCATTGAACCATTCCAAGGACACTATTTTGCACAAACATGCTATTGGCAGTATCCGGCTTGTGGAGAACTGGGTCCTTTCATATACAACATGCAGAGAAGGCTTCAGGTTGTCCAGCAGCTTCTCCTGATGCAAAAAGGGCCCAGCTTCATGAATATGCAAACTGTGCAGTCACACAAGCCCCACATGAAGAAGGACTGCACACTTGGTGTAGAACTTTACTGTCACTGTCTTGAAATTCTTGGTAATTTAATCTTCTAACTTGTATTTTGTTCATGAAGTCTAAAGGGCAATGGAGCATTTGTGTGAGCAGAAGAGACACACATTATATTATGTCTAGTGTTTTTATGTAACTCATTTGCACACAGCACTCTTGACACCCCAGGAGCACAAGATTCTGGCAGGCCCACAACATGTGGGAGTTCAGCCACATGCAAGTTGACTATAAGACAAGCCTGTTACTCTGGAACTGAGTGAGTAGGTGCTAGGACAGCCCCAAGAAGCCGTGGTTTCCATGTGAACCAGAATTTGCTTAGTTCACTAAAAAAAAGGTAATAGTGTTCTACGAAACAAAATGATTAAGGAACCCTGTCATGTCCTTTATTTCTCCTGTTACTTCTCTGTATTGGCCAACCTCTTACACTGAAAATGATAATATAGAAGGAAAGGGAAAGATAGGGCAGTGCATAATTTCTTTTCCTTTCAATTCTTCCTTACTCGTAAGTAAGATGAAGTTAGAATGTTGGTCGACTGTACAAGTATTAGGAAGTAAAAACAATTCTGTGCAGCATCTCTACCTTGCTGGTATGAAAATATATATATATATATATATATATATATATTTTTTTTCCAGGATGGGAATGTAGCTCAGTAGCTCAGTGGTAGAGTGCTTGCCTAGCATGTGTAAGGCCCTGAGTTCAATTCACAGTATCACAAAAAAAATAATAATAATAATACATGCACACACAAGTTACATATAAACTATGATTTTGGTGGGTCCATATGCAAATTACATCTTCTCATATTTTCATTTAAAACTGGCATTATGCAATATAAAGATAAACAGTAAAATTCATGCTAATGATATAAAATGTTAGTTGTTCTTAGAATACCAATCAATAAGCATCAAAAAATACTGTGACATGTCAATAGAGAGAGACCATGGAAGATAAAGCTTTATATTTTGGCACCTTCAGTGGTACTTTTTTCTGCTTTCTGCACAAGAAGCCCTGCATTTTCATTTTGCACTGAGCCCTGCAAATTATGTAATTGGCCCTATGTGTAGATGAGGGGGAGAAATGCTTGGCTTTGTCCTTTCAACTCACCACTAAAAAGTTTGCACCCTGGGTTGATCCTGAGAGTTGCCTTTACTAGTCATTACAGCTGGGAATTCAAAGAATAGTAACTGAGAGAGAGAATGAGAAAGAAAGAGGGGGGTCAGGGGAAGGCCTTCTGCAGTGTCCTTGCCTGCTTCAGAGCAGCTGCTCTAGGCCCCATGAGACTGAAAGCTCTTTTCTGAGTTCTTCCTCTCCCCCACTCCCCTGTAAATTTCTTTCTTCCTCCCCTCCATGGCATTAATTTAGAAGTAAAATGTTAGTTTCATAAGACTCTTGCATATATATTATTTTCTTTTGTATTAATAATATCATAGTTTGAGATTTCAAGGTACAAAACTCAATTGCAAAACAGAGATGGATCCAGTTAGGTTTTCTCTTCCTTCAAATAGAGGAAACTGCATCTAATATAACCAAATTTGAAGGGGTAATATTACATTAATCTTCATAATTTCCACATTTCCTTAAATATCTTTGGCATCTTTACATCATTATCCCATTCTCCTCATTGGGGGTGGGGTGATTATTTTTAGTAAGCAATTCTTATTTGGATATATGTACATATATATGCAAGTATATACTACATATAAATGCAAATCACAATTTTTATATAAAATTTCAGTTGCAAACAATAAATCATCCAAAAGCAATGATATTTCCTAATAAGAACAGTGATCATAAACCAATGTGATTTAATTGTTAAACCATTATGGATTCCCCCACCTACTAATGTGCCCAGCTGGAAGCAGTTATGTCCATCACCAACCTCTTTATAGGAAAACATCTGACACCTGCATGAGCCTTGATTTCTGCAGCTTTTGCTTTCAGGGGCCTCAGACTCAAGTGCCACAGTCATCACATTACCTTGATCAACTGTATCTTCTCAGGTTTGCAGGGCCATGGAACCCAATACTGATAAACACAAGAATCTGATGCCCTCAGGCATGTTTTGCTGAAGTGAATGGATTAACAGTGTAAGCTGCAGTTTGGGAGATGTCAACTAGCTAGAGTGATAGATGGAATCCCAACAGGGTCAACTCCGTATCTTATCTCATAAAGTGGATAAGTTGCATTAGCAAAGATGGAAGTAAAAAATAAATAAATGAAAAGGGAATTTTTTTTCTTTCCTCATTTTAAAAATCAATTTTTCTTATGTTTTCTCACATTCATTTGATTTCAGTATGTGGGTGTGGATGTTTGTATATGAGAGGGAGGAGGGAGAGGAATGAAAAATTTTAAACTATTTAAAATGGCAAAATTAATTAATTTGCTAATAGGTAACATTGGCCAGAATGTAAGAAGTATATTGGTGGGAGTGCAAACTGTTACAAGCATTTTGGAGATCAATTTAGTCATCTCTTCATGCTTTAAATGTTATTTTTTTAAAAAATGAGTAACTGGGGCTGGGGATGTGGCTCAAGTGGTAACACGCTCGCCTGGCATGCGCAGGGCGCTGGGTTTGGTCCTCAGCCCCACATAAAATAAAATAAAGATGTTGTGTCCACCAAAAACTGAAAAATAAATATTACAAAATTCTCTTCTCTCTCTCTCTCTCTCTCTCTCTCTCTCTCTTTAAAAAAAAAAAATGAGTAACTGGACTGGGAATGTGGCTCGGTGGTAGAGCCCTTGCTTAGCATGCGTGAAGCTCTGGGTTCCTTCCCCAGCACTGCAAAAAAAAAAATAATAATAATAATTAAATAAATAAAATAAATGAGTAATTCCCTAGGTGATGATATGGGAAAGGCTCTAAGAGATATTAAGTGAGAAAAATTAATCAGAAAAACAGCATTTTAATGTGGTGTATGGAGTTCTTTTGTGTAATGTATGTATAAATGTATTTATACATACGTATATCAAGTTCTGCTATAACAGAATCTGTTATATAAAACAAAAGACAAATATCGTCCAACATGATAGATAACTAGTGAAATTTGGGGACATAACTCCAACTCACATTTGCTCACATAAAATTCCATCCACGAGGAATGCTAGCTAGCTGAAAGCAGAAAACTGAACCCAACTGAACTAAATCACATAGGAATAAACAAAATGCTCACCAGAACACACTTCAACATGACCAACTGCCTTAGTTTACAGCATGGGTTACAAGCTGCACCCACCACATTTGGTTTAAAACTTTCCTTCCAATTGCAGATAGTCCTCTTTGCACCACTACACAATATCTCACATGGGCAACCCCTCCAACACCAACATCATAAGCTAGCTTCAGGTCTTTTCAAGGGAAAGTGCTATATTTACTATAATATTTGCATATTGACCAATTTAACATATATAAAACTAGCTATCTTTTTTATTAGCCCCCCCAGATTTTATTTTTATATGTCACTAATAAAATTTTTGAGGGCTGGGGTTGTGGCTCAGCGATAGAGCGCTTGCCTAGCACGTGTGAGGCCCTGGGTTCAATCCTCAGGACCACATAAAAATAAACAAATAAAATAAAGGTATTGTGTCCAACTACAACTAAAAACTAAATATTAAAAAAAAAGGTTTGATTGTGTCCCAACTCCATTTCTTCCATATGCTCCATGGCTTTTATTACAAAATTTTGCATAATTCAGTGATGCTTAGGAACACATACATCCCTGTATAGCAAAATTGACTGTGCACATACACATATGAGTATGTATGCAGATATACACACACCTACCAGTAGTTCTCAAATGTTATCATGCATGAGAATCAATAGAGAACTTGTTAAACTACAGATAACTAAGCCTTATACTCAGAGTTCCTGAGTCAGTAGGTCTAGAATAGGGCTGAGAATTTGCATCTCTAGCAAATTCCTAGGGAACATTGGTGCTGTGGATCCAGGTACCACACTGTGTGAATTCACTTCCCAAGCACCTGGAGTTCACTGCACTCTGGAGTTCACTGCTGTATTACTTGTAATTGGAAAAAAAAAAAAAAGTGTGCAATACGCCAAACGTCTAATAGGAGGGGAATGACTTGTTTACCATATGACCATATCATGAACTGATATGCAGAAAATGGAAAGAAAGAGGTCAGTCTTTTGTTGGGGGATTGAACCCTGGGGAGCTTAACAACTGAGCCAGACCCCCCCTTTTTTAAATATTTTATTTAGAGACAGGATCTTGCTAAATTGCTTAGGGCCTTACTAAATTGCTGAAGATGGCTTTGAACTTGCAATCCTCCTACTTCAGCCTCCTGAGCCACTGGGATTATAGGCGGCACCTGTAAAGAGGTCAGTTTTAAAAGTCTATCATGGAGGGGCTGGGGTTGTGGCTCAGAGGTAGAGCACTTGCCTAGCATGTGCAGGATGCACAATCCTCAGCACCACATAAAAATAAATAAATAAAATAAAGGTATTGTGTCCAACTACAACTAAAAAAAATATTTTAAAAAAGTCTATCGTGGAAAAAAATCTCCAAGGTATGTTATTGGAATAAAGCAAGGTATAGATATAGATATCTAGATACCATTTATTTTCTTAAAAAAATAGTTACCCTATCAGTCTGAGTA